CTCTATTTTCCTTAAATTGTTTTCAACAGGTTGAAGTTAATCTTATCATACACACAATGCTGGATAGAAAAAACTGAAAGTTCTTTATGGATTATGAGGCTTTTCTTTTCCTGAAAAAGACCTCAATATCCCTGTCCAATATACCAATGCCTTTTAATGTCTGTTGTTAATTTCCATTGGGGAAGTGATGGCAACCAGTTCAAAATGTGTTGAATTATTACTGGTCAGTTAAGTAATTATTTGGATTCCATTCTTTGAACAAACAAGAGCAGGTAACCCTAAGGGCTGTGGAATAATGCAGATAAAACATGGTCTGGTTGACGTTTATAAATTATTATGAGGAAAGCTTAAAATGGCAAAAACCTACTTATAAACTGACACAAGATTTAAGCTAAACAATAAGTTAGGTGGGCTCCTTCTATGCCCATTGTTTAGTTGCACAGCACGTTGGTATTTTTTTTATTTCTGACCAGCGAAAAAGTCAGTGTTATTTCCAGAAAAATGTAGCACTATGTGTATGTGAGGGTTGCCGCAGATCAGAAGTAAAGCGATATAAAAAGAAATTGAATCTCCAGTCGGTTTTTCAAGCAAGATGGGATGTTTTCAGCTAAATCCACAAAAATAAGCGTGACACTTAACCATAAATAGAATACTTGGAAAAACAACCAATCTAACCAATTTAGGTTAGATTAACCAATATATTTGTCAGAAACTGATTAATCAATTGGTTTTGGATCAATCATTTTCATTAGTTAACCAAACAACCAATATAAATGGTAACTTGTGGTTTGCTAATCTGACTGTTTGGGTGTATTCATGTTTAGTGTGCAATAGTTATGGACCAAGAAAACAGTTACAATGATGTGTAGATGTACAACATAGAAATCTTGGCGTCAACCTTGGGTCTGTCATTGATATTATATAGTACTAAAATTCAGGAGATATTAGTGGCAACAGTAGCCTTGGATGCATGACTTTGCTCTTCATCCAAAGGATTCTTGGTTAAAGCCTAGCCTACTCAACCAATATTTTGGTCAAAGTCATGTGTTGATGTGTTGAGTGTTGGGTCAAAAACCAAACTTGTGACCTCTTAAGGACTGTGTAGGCAACTGATTTAATCCTCAATTTTTTTTATTGTTTCTATGAAATACAGATAACTAACTGGAGAAACAATCAGAACATATACAACCTACCTAGAATAGAAATGGACAAGTAATGTTTCCTGGATGCAAAGAAAACCAATATGTTAAAAGAATTATTGAAAAAATAACACAGTCTATAAACTTAAGAGTTAAACAAAGGGAAAACAGGGCTATTTCCATAAATTCTCACCATATAGAGTGAATTCCAACAGCACTTTAACGCCCCATTAGATACAAGGGGAAATAACGGGAAATGTAAGCTTTCCAATGGTCTTTAAATGCATCATCAGCACAGTTTACGTGACATGAAGAAAGCAACCAAATTTTAAGCAATTAAGCAACATTAACACAATTTTAATGATAGACATGATGAA